AGCCACTGAGCTCAGCCAATTTTTCTTGATTAGTTAATAAGGCACATTCAATTTTAAGATATGCAACTGAAATAAAAGTATACCAATACATAATTAAGCAAAGAGCATATGATATACAAACACTTAGGTAAATCTGAAACTAATTTCTTTTCTCATTGTGGAACATAAGTACTAATGTGTGGTTTGAAATTATATTCCAGTCCTACAAACTGGAAAGGTTAAGCGTCAATAATTTGTTGTCACCTTTGCAAATGCTTGGATATATTTTTCAGTTGTACTTGTGTCCTGCATATTATTCTCACATTCTTCTGTACTGGCAAGGGAACTTTCCTGTTCTTTGATCAGAGATGTAGTAGAACATCTTTTCAGTCTGAGATAATCTTTTGAACTGGTGGGAGCAGTCCTAGTGGATTCACTGACAGATATAAATGGTTTTTCTCCTGTTGAACCAGACAAAAGAGCTTGGGTATTTATTAAAGCAAGTTCTTCATCAGCTACTGAATTACTTTCCAAAAGAGAAATTTCACTGAATTTTTTAAATGGAGTCACCTGTAGAGAATTCAATTCTTTTTTCTTTATAGGTGTTTCGTATTTGGTGCCACAACTCCTTGGTGGTTGAAATGCCTTCTGTGCAGCTGGAGAAACAAATGTACAAATGGGACTAACAGGTGGAGGTAAAGGCAGTCTACTCAAGAAATCCAAGGCTCTTCTCTTTTTGCAGTTTTTTTGGTCATCAATCTCTTTCTCCCCTTTACAACAAGACTTTGAAGTCATTTGGGCTGATACAGGTGTGGAAGCAGACTTCCTTTTGGGCATACAATGTGATAAAGGACTTTGATAATTTATATCACAATTAGGAGAAGACATCTGTTAAAAAAAATTAAGTAGTCTATCATAATTATGTTCTAACATAAAAAACTAAATCAAAGTAACTTTTCATTGAAAATATTTAAGCACACAAATATCAAACACAGTCTCCCTCCCCGGATTGCTAATAGGTTAGATAATTTCAGTTCATATTATCCCTATTCTAGAAGGAAATAATTTTGCATAAGAGCATATACAATGATATGAAAAGAAAGAAAGATGAAGAGTAATCATAGTAAAAAAGGAGGTAGGGTCAGATTTCATGAGACTTAAAAATTTAAATTAAAAATAAAAAAGAAAAAAAAGGAGGTAGGGGATGTCAACTTATGCTTTAATCTTTTTTATTATTAACAGGTTAAACAAAGATAAACATTTTAAAGCCATCTTAAGAACACACACTACCTGGGTTCTAATACTTTTCTAGCTTTGGGAACTTACTAGGCAATTGCTTAACCTCTCTCTATGCCATACTCTCCTCATCTATAAAATGAGGATAATATAGTAAAGTCCTCACTTAATGTCACTAGTAAGTTCTTGGAAACTGTGACTTTGAGTCAAACAACGTATAGCAGGTCTTTGAGCAATGGCATTTCCTTCAACATCATTTTGTTAGAACACTGATGAGAAAAAAATATGGTTTTGTTATACAACACTTCCTTAAAATCAGTTTCCAAAAACCTATTGACAATGTTAAGTGAGGACTTAGGTTTTATCTCATAGGGTTGTTATGAGGATTAAATGAGTAAATATAGATACATTTAGCAAATATTAGCTATTTAAGAATGCGCTATTAGCCAGTATTAAAGACGGTAGCTTGATTTGCATCTACTCTGATTTAACCACTTAAACAGCTTAGAAACAACCCTAATTGTATGGAACACTAAAAGAAATAGGCAAAAAACACTTTTCAATCACATGTAAATGAAAGCACTTAATTGGAAAGTTTGCACCCAAAGTTTCATATCTTCCTTCAATAAATAAAATTTCTAAATAGTCTATACTTATAGGAGCCACAAAACCACCGCACTTTCTAATTAAGTTTAATTACATTTTACCATGTTTACTAGGTATACAACAGAATATACGATGGCCTCCATATATAATAT